ACACATGAAAACCTGATAACAAGTAATAACCCATAAAGTAATTACCAGAAAACATTAGTATTTGTTTCGATCGTTTGTCTCATGACCTTAAACAATTTGTACACTGTATATTAATTTGAGGCTCTAGAATGAATGAATGAATGAATGAAATAGAGTTTTAGCCTCTAGAACATCCACAAGATTTTTAAAAGTGATCAAGGGCCTTAACTCTGGCAGTATTAATCAAAAATCATTGAAAATGAATAGGATTCTTTGTCGCATGACCTTAAACACTGTGTATAAGTTTAAAGTCAATCAGATATTAACTTTAGCCTCTAGAGCATCGACAAGCAATTGTGTACATCTGCACTTTTTGGAAAATGTACATTCTCCCAAAGTCAAAGATGGATACATGTGTACTGTTGCAGTGGTTTAATGTTTATATTTATTATCATTGAAACTAGGACAAGAGGTGGTAACAAGACACGAGAAAACAAATTATTGTAGGTTATCAATGCCAGGAACATTGGCAAAGAAAGTCTTTACTACATGTACATGCACCACTACATATGAATCAACAATTCAGTATCACACTTCTTTGGAAACATCTTATTGTTAATGAATGTGTCTCTGGTGAATTCTCAGATGTTCTGTTCCAGTTTCTTGCTACAACTACGGTACTTTAATATTGAGAATATAAGCTAAGAGACTGCTAAGTGATTTTTGAGAGAAACTGACTATTAGTGTAATTTGATAATCCTAATAAAATCAACAGAAAATCACTTTCAGATTAAATTCCAGTAGTGATCGCTACACAATTTGGTTATTAATTCATGACTGACAAAACATAAAGAAAATCATTAGAAATCAATGATCACAAGATTAAAAGTAAGTTTGATTGATCTGTTAAACAATGAAGAGAACTGCCTGTCATCAACCCACGCCACATTTCATTATATGATGTAGATTGTAACTGATTACACAATCACATGAAACTAACACCAGTATAATTGTATCAAGCGTTGCATTAACCTTAAACACAGTCTACTGATTGGATTCAACACTGACAGTTTGATTTAAAAATAAAAACCATATTGTTCATGTCTTTTATAATAGACTAGTGACATTTTTATATTTTCTCACCAAAGGCCAATTGCTAATTACATCAGGGGTGTGGTGACCCACGATTTTGCACGAGGAACAAGATCCCATCCGGGCCCCAAAAAAAACAATATTAATAATATGTGTGTGCGAGGGTGGGTGGTGACAGTCCCTCCCAGTGCAGCCGGGTAATATTGGGCTGTGTGGAACATGCTAGAGTTAATTTGTGGCATATCTGAACCACGGTTATGATTATATTGTTGAAAACGGCATTGAAACCGCATGATTTTTTACCATTTGCGAGGGGGCGCAAAAACTCAAGGGGGTGCAGAAACTCAAAACCATGACACAAAACTTGTAATTGCGTCCCCCTCACTTAGCCCCTGAATTACATACATATATATTAATAAACTGTTGGAGGTCCTGGTTAGGAACAACTTTTAAGTGTTGTTTTATATGTATATGTATATATATGCCAACCAGCCCAACCTGTACATTGTACATAGGACCTTGATTTTTCCTTGTCAGGTCTTCTGTCCTGCCCCACTGACAGGGTGAAATCAGGCTGGAAAATCAGTAGGATCAAACCTGGGAGCCTCTGGTTAGTGAGCCGACAACTTACCGACTGAACCACCACGGTTCCCTGATCAGAGTAAATGAATCCATAAATAAAACATTATGAATTCTTTCCTTGATCTATTGTAGACTATACATGTATGTACATCGAAACACATGAACATCTAAAATAAGTACATGTATTTGTAACAAGATACATGTGTAACGGGCTTTTTGAAAATAAAAACAGCAACAGCACAGAATCCTAAAACATAAAATAATAATTATGTACAATGTATGTGCATGTAGAACCACTGAACTTGAGGAGGACGATTCCCAATATAGACAGAATACTGTTTTAATAACATGCAAATGTAGGAGGAAAGATAAAATGTTATTTTAGTGTGTCAATTACCAGTTCTTTGTTTCATCCAACAATCTTGAGTCCATAAAACACAAAACTGACAGATCTAAACACAGATTAGAGAGCACACATCATGGGTAATGGAAAATTAATCTTGAAATGGGCCAATCAATAAAACAAAATTATTCAGACATCAAGTCACATACATGTACATAGTACATAAAATGTACTTGTACATATTGTTTTAAATAAAGTGTATACCCATGCTTCCATATTAAACAGGCTTCTTCTCGACTTTTTAAATTAATTTGGGAATGGTTTTCAGGGAGACAAATTTTGTTCAATGTTATTTAATATTTACAAATTAAAGTGGCATTATGGAAGATTATATAAAGAGATGACAGTTCTCGCTATAATAGTTAAAAAAAAAAAATAGATAATGTAACAGGAACATGTTGAAAGTTTCAGTCAAATTACCGGTACTTCACTCTGAGCTGAGAAATACTCATTTTAGGAACACTTTAGCCTTGATTGTCACTGTTATCGTTTTGTGATAAAAAAAAGTGTCAATTATCCATTTTTACGGTTAATCATCAACAGCCGTTGAATGGCAGATCGGATTCAAATCTAATGAAAATCAGACCTGAACCTGACATACGAGAGTTGATTATGGTCTTGTCATGTTAATCATGTTAATGAATGTCGAAACCACGCCAGTTGCCTCAATGACAGACCTTATGATACAGCGTGCAATGGCGCAAACCATTCGGCCATCCCCCCTCCCCAAGCTAGTATGTATTCAAAGTGATTATTTATTTAAGAAAACAAGACCATGTGGATACAACACTTTCAATTTTGGCAGATGCTTTGAAGACAGTTGTCCTTTATGTAAATAATAGTACCATAATTTTCATCTCCTATCAATCAATAATGTAAACTCTGGCCTTTGATCTTCACTGACCATACCATATCAAATGTACATGTATTAGGCTAATTATCAATGTAATTAACATATTCATGAATCTACTGATTTGACCTAGCAGTAACATCAGTTACAAATTAGAAAAAGACACATATTATTGGAAAACAAGAAATTGATTGATCTGTGGAAGCAAGAATTCCATTAAGAACTTCAATAAGACCAAAGTTCTTTTTATCCATTCTTCAACTTCAAATGATTGGGCCCTCATTGGTAAATAGAACTGACATGTAATGTTGTTTTTTTTGTTTTTCTTTTATTAAATTTCCAACGGGTTTTTAAATAGTCTGTCAAACAACCAATAAATGCAAATGATATTAGTAATAGACCAGAAGATGGTCATTATACATGTGTTTTGTGGTGTATTAATTTATGATACTGTTGATTTACAGGGCAACTATGTGTACTTTATTCCAATCTATTGCTTACATGAACATATGTAGACCTTCCAAAGTTGGTGTTGAAATGTCTTTAATTTAGCTGAGCAAGGAATGCAATAAAGGTTTTCAGAGGAAATCGGGGAGGTCCCCAGCCACTACAAGTACATGTAGATGTTCTGAAATGCTTTGAAACATATCAAATGCATTCCAGACAACCCAATTCCATGAGATTATGCACATTTTTATAAATAAATTGTCAAAAACATTGTATAAAATCAGTCAAAAATTTGATTTTAAAGAGATATAATTAAAACATATCATTACCAATACTAACATGCTGCACTAAGCAAGCATTACAATTACAGGACAGTGATCAAGATATTTTGGAGAGATTTGTCAGTGACAGACAGAGATCTCTGTTGCTTGGATATGTTGCAGCCAAATACTTATGCAAGTCTAAAGTGATGATTGACAATAGAAAATCTAACATTTGCAAATTTAGACATCTGAGAAGATATACATGTATATTCTGGGAATTACACAAGATTTCTAAACTCTTCCAAGAGAATGGGATGTTAGTTTTCATTTCTTGAGAATCACTGAAATTCAGTGTGACAAGGTAGATCTAGACACATTATTAATTAAGATTTGCACTCATGTCAGCCTAAGCCGTTTTACAGGAGTTCAGCATAATCCTGGCACATAATACTTTAATCTCAGTGGGTCAATGCTTGGTTTTTCAATAATTAGATGAGTTCATGTTTACATGTACATGTAGTTCGAACATGATATTATGTATTTCTCATTAAAAGTGACAATCTTTAATTTGTATACCTTCGCCATGTATACATGACAATATATGATATATGTAATTGTATTAGTAAACGAAGTGGATATTTAACCGTATCTATTTCTGCTATTTTACCGTACATCGTTTCGGCGCAGAAGCACAATTTACTGGAAAAACATAAACCACTGACAGTCTTAGTACTTAAATTAAAACCAAAATCCGCAGAAATGCGGCCTCGACCAAAATAGAATAATATTCTACATGCTTTTCTACAATTTACATTTATTATCTTATTTTCTTTTAAAAATAATTCTCCAGTTTCTACCATAGAAATTCAAGTATGGCTATTTCGTTCCTTTATAAGAAACGGAAAAAGAAGCAATGTTAGACAAAGAACGAATAGAACTGTTGGGTTAGGTTTTGGGTTAGAGTTTGGGTTATGGGTTAATGTCAGACGCCAAAAAGAAAACTGCTAAGTCCAGGTATCAGAGAACTGCGCATGTAAAACGGAAGCGTACGGCAAAATAGTAAATAAAGTAAAGCGCCGTTTACTGCCATTAGTAAAACTAATAGTGCGATACATAAAATAGGAATCAAGCGCCGTTTACTGCCATTAGTAAAACTAATAGTGCGATACATAAAATAGGAATCCTACAGTTTATTGTTACCGTACAATCATTGTTGTATTTACTCATTTGGATTTATGTTGTATTTACTCATTTGGATTTAACAACGGCAAATAGAAGAGCTTTTCTATCGGAACCAGAACCAGGTTACAATAACATGCATAAGACAGTTAAATGGCATTTATGTCGGATATCATTATCAATCATTGAATCAAATATTTTATACCTGTTCAAATCTTGCTCTTTCCTGGGCTTTTTCATTTTTTTCTGTTTCTAGTTTATCAACTACATATCTCAACTGTGTTATTTCCTCACTTTCTTTTTCATATTTATTGGCTAGATTCTCTAACTGTTCTAAAGTTCTGATGACTTTGGGCATGAGATCAGTGACAGACTCGTGACCATAACTTGTTATTAACTTGTCAAATTCTTGGGCTATCCCCGCAGCCTGATCATAAACGTCTGTCACAGATATGGACACAATTTCTTCCGAGGCCATCATCCTTCTTCTACAAGCGAACGGATCCATTAGAGATGTTACAGCAAATACCCATGACACCTTCTAGTCTACATAGTTTATAACCAGAAATAATAATCAATTCACATTATATTTAGTCACGAGCCCAGCCCACTTCGCAATCAATATCAACCGCGGAGTTCAACTTCCGGGTTGTTTGTGGATCGCGTAAAACATATTACAAATAAATTAGGGAATATTTTTGAAATAGTAATAAATGTCTCTGGAGATTCCAAAAATAATTATCTTAGATAAAAATACTTCTTTCCTCTTTTGTTTTTAAGCAGGTGCGTGTCCGTTTGTACCGGATCTTTAACGCGCATGCGTAAAGTTAATTTACGTGGCACCGTGCATGCTGACGAAAAAATTTACTTGGAAACGACGAAAATTAACACTTAAAAATGAACTCTTTTAGTTTAATTGCTAGACTGGCTTTTGCACTAGTATTTGTATCATATATCGAATGTTACTTTATTCAAATTGACGCCCATGCTGAAGAGTGTTTCTTTGACAAAGTCACATCGGGTACTAAAATGTCCCTCATGTTTGAAGTGGCAGAAGGTGGATTTTTGGATATTGACGTGAAGGTACTGAACTGCGAATTTGTTATTTTGTTTTTACCTATAACTTGACATATTTTATTGTATGTATGTGCAATATATTAATGCCATAGAGAAATATCAGCTGAAGTTATATTTTTATGCTTCCATCTGTGAAACAAGTCTGTAGCTGGTTCTTTTTCTCAAATGACAAAATGTGAAAAAGGCAATTGCCAATTGGCATACACATTTATCAATATGACATAGTAATATAGTAGATATCTCTATCAGTATCATGCATAGTTTCAGGTTTTTTTTATGCCAGATCACCTTTGTATTTGATTGAGAAATGAAATGAAATGACGTCCTACTGTTCTGCTCCGAACTGGGCTAATGAAGACGGGCATACGCCATACAGTGTGCTATGAGGGAAATTTTGCCCAGACAGTGACACTAGGGCCTACTTTTATATCATATTCCAACTGTCAAGGGATCTTTTACGTGCACGCCAATGTGTACACGGGACCTCGGTTTTTCATCTCATCCGAATGACTAGACCACTGTCCTTCTCAGGCCCTCCGTCCAGCATCACTGACAAGGGGGAACCACGCCAGAAAATCTGGATGAACTTTCTCGACCAATGCAGGGATCGAACACCCGACCTCCAGGCTAACGAGCCAGCGTCTTACCCACTTAGCTACCGTGACCCCTGTATCTGATTGAGTGGCAAACACCAAAAAATATGTAAGGCAGTATGGTCATCATGAAAATGTTGCCTAGATCGATCCAATAATATTGCTATTAAATTCAATTCTGAAAAGAATGAGTAACCTTCAAGACTTTGATGTAAATGTCTCAAAACATGTTCTAAATTGATCAAATCGTGATCTAGTATTTGTGTAAGCATGTATGTTGTAAAAATTTCAAATGTTTCTACAATGGTATAATTTATATACTAAATAATGAAATGTACTGTTATACATGTAGGCTAGATGTGTTTTTTTTCTGCAGATTTATGGCCCAGACGGAAAAGTTATTCACTCTGGTGATCGTGAATCAAATGGCAAATACACTTTCGCAGCTCATATGGACGGTGTTTACAAATATTGCTTTGGAAACAAGATGTCAACAATGACACCTAAAATTGTCATGTTCAGTATGGATATTGGAGAAAAACCCAAAGAACAAGAAAATATGGAAAATGATGGTAAATGTTCTTTTGTTGTAAAATATTAGCTTGCAATCCATTCATTATGTGATGTGATTGACAGCATCTAACTTCCAAGTGCATAGGGTTGAAGATTAAAGGGGGGTAACTCTCTTTTTTAAGAACTATGCATCTATATTACATTAGTTGTCATGGAACATTAGTTTTATCAACCACACTAAATTTAATAATATTTTCTTATAAGTCCTCCCTTTACTTTATTTTATTTGGATCATTCTTTTTTTGATACATTGTAACTATGTGTTACTTGGAGATTAAGGGGAGATAGACTTCTGACTATAATTCAAGTTGAAAACAAATTTGGGAATTCATTTCTTAGTAACAAATGAGATGTTTTTTATCACCTACAACATTTCATCAAGATTACAAATTGCCACATATGAAGTTGCAAAGCACTAAAAAGGAAAAATGTTTGTTTTAACACTATTTATTTTTCAGCTCATCATAATAAACTGTCTGAAATGGTCGTTGAGTTAGCAACTGCTTTAACTGGTGTAAAACATGAACAAGAATATATGGAAGTTAGAGAAAGAATACATAGAGCAAGTAAGTACCAGTACATGTATAATCTTTCAATTGATTGGTGTTACAGATTAATGGAGAATTACTCTGATATGGCCAAGTTCAAATAGTACTGGCAAGATACAGCAGAACAACATTCTTGTAAGAATGAAGAAAGCAATGTTAAGAATTTTACTTTTACAAAATTGGCATAGCTACCAATTACATATTTTGCTATTTTAAATGTTTAATCAAATTTTTCTTCTTTTCTTTTCAGTCAATGACAATACTAACTCTCGTGTGGTATTATGGTCATTTTTTGAAGCCTTAGTATTAGTAGCTATGACATTAGGACAAGTTTATTATCTTAAAAGATTTTTTGAAGTTCGACGTGTGGTGTAATATATTGAGAATAGAAAGTTAGAGACTTTATAAATTGCTTCCATGGTTTGAAATGTAAATGGTGAAGATATTCATTTTAGGAGGAGCACAAGACTTTAATATCCGTAATATGTTATAAAGCATGGAACGTCATCATGTTAATATATTGATGCAGTGGAGCTTTTATGGCATCTTTGTGAACCAAAACAGATACCTTTCTAAATAACAGTACATAACTCTTATTTTAAATTTATTGTTAATTCTGTTACTATGTGTAGTTTTCATTGGTACTATTTTCAAAAGTGGCCTTTAGCGTGTAACTTTATAATTTATCATTACTTGTATTGTTCAATGCAAGGATAAAAAAGGGTAATTCAAGGAAAATCACAGTACCTCACTATCAACTTGTACTAACAAAAAGTTGGCTGATTTTATTATTATTGCCCAAAGCTCCACTGTTTCTGATGTGCCCCTTCATCCTTGATGTAATTTGATGAATGAATGATGAATGTTATTTTATGTTTGTAAAGGTTATAGATCTAAAGGCAAAGCATGGCTTGGTTCATTCCTGGCTTAGGTGTATGGCTTTATTTTAGCAATCTCTCTGTATCACAATAGAATTAATGTATTTTTGACTGATAATACAGAGATGAAAAAACATGTGTTGTTCCTTTACCAACTCATAGTATAATGTCAATCTAAGTTAAATTAAAGATATATTTCCTCGACAGACACAATCTAGAATACATAAATATCGACTGAAAAATATATATAACTTATCTTTCAATATCATTCAAGGGAAGTTTATTTGACATGCTTTTTGACAATTTGCAAATTTTTATTGGCACTGGAACATGTATGTAGTAAATTTGGGAGATGTGAATGGTAGTGACGCTTAACACTTAACTTATTTAATTTATTGTGGGCGATTTGAGGAAACGTATCTTTAAAAGTAAAGAGGTATACATGATGGATTGTATGTGATTACATGTGTTATATAAGCCTTTGGTATAAATGATATTCTTTGTTTAGAATAGATGCAATGTACTACTTAGAACATCTATATTAATGCAACCATCATTTATTACATAGTTTATACTATATGTGAACCCAATTAATGTTTTAAATATAGATGAATATGGAGTAATGTTCATGTATATAAAATGAAGGATTGTTTAAGTTGTGTTGTCACTATTAGATGTTGATGTATATTTTATACATAAATTTTTTAGTCCATTTGCATGTTATACTATCTGTAAATCATTTAAAGAGACAGTTTGGAGTCCAATTTTTAATGTGAATTTATTATGCCAGAATACTTGATAATGATCAACATAATGAGATTAATCTTTGTTTACACAAACTGAATACAGATGTTAAAGATTAAAGCATGTTATACAGACCATAGTGAAGTTTGAATTTGTCTACATAATTCATCTTTCTTAGATAAATAATATTATAAAATCTTAGGGATTTCGAGAAATTTAATTTGGGAAAGCCATACTCTACTTCCTGTTAAAATTCTTTTCTCCTTTTTTTTTTCTTTTTGTTGTTGTAAATACCAAATTTGTGTGTAATTTGTTTGGTGTATAATTTAAGTAATAAGTAAGTTGTTAATTTTGATATATTATTCATAATGGAAAAAGGAGCAAGACAGTCATATAAAATACGTCCCAATAATTACGTAATGAAGTGCACAGTAAAGTTTAAACATGGTTATTGACTATTTTTTTTTTATGTCTATTTGGTTGCTCATAAATCCAATACTTATATTAATTCATCTTTAATATGTAAATATTTTATTCTCCAAAATAGGTGGTAAGAGGACGTCAATTCCATACTAATTTTATTTTGAAAAAATAAAACAAAATAATATTTTCACACATAGCTTTGTTTTTGATCTTCATCAATAAGTATTTTGAGAAAATGGTTTTGATGATCATTAGTTTATAGGCTATTTGAAAATAGTGTCACACTTTGTTTGTAGCAATAGCACATCATACAGATACTAAAACAGTAGATGTGAAATATCCTTCAATTCCATTTGAAGGTTATTCTATAATGTCAATAAATTGTTCGGTGTTAACAAGACCCTTCCAGTCATCTGGTGGTCTTTTTACACTTGTTATCTAGGAAATTCTACATATATCTGAAAGCAACAAGCACAGTTAGCTCTTGAAGATTACCACCATGTGCCGTATTTACTTCAATTATTGTAGCGATTCGTATATTGTTTAATAGCATTGAATCATGTGACTCACACATCGTTCAAAGGATAGTTGTTGCCATACTAGTTGTTTTTTTGGTCAATATTCACCGTTTTTACCAATCAATCTATTTTTGGCTAAACTACTACGCGTTAATTATTACTTGACTTGTTGATTAAGAAGTCAATCAACTTTTATTTATCGACTACAATAACAGTCATATCATGTGGTTTATAATTCGAGTAATTAGCACCTTTAACGGTAATTTTGATAATCCGGTAAAAAAAACAAAACAAGCATACTGATTATGCATAAATGGTTCAGTATGTTGCACTTTGTGAAAATAAGCCACGTGGCGGCGAAGACGTTCTCGGGATTCGACGCTCGATCCGTACGAATTCCCGGTAACCGTTGGATCATACATTTAATGGTTTCACTGAGCAGTTGTTAGTTAAATTTAAATCTTCATTGATTTGAATATAATCCACTGATAGAACACTGCATACACCGAGAAACATAATATATTTTCTCCGGCAGAATCTCCAATGCCGAATGCCTAATCCCTATGAAACGTGACATGCATCGGTTGGAATTAGGTCAATAAACCAAGCGATGCTAAATTTAGTTTAAATAGCCTTCACCATTATGATTATTCATTTTATACACATGCTCGACATGCTGTCAGAGGTTTAATTTTGAATATTGTTGTTATTATCGAAAGCTATGCCATAGTGGTACGGAATTTTATTTTGTAAAGCAATTTCAATTATGGTGACCATTGTGCCGTTTGTCTGTCATCTACGAATGAATAAAAACTTTGCAAGTAAATTACTTGACTTGTCAAAGGTTTTGTCTAATATGAAGAAATACCATGGTGCCGTATCAGCTTATTTTGGCAACGGCATTTTCTGATAAACTGACGAACTACTATTATTACGAACATTTCGCTTTATCCATAGAATAAACGAAGACTAATTTATTCGTGAATTTTACTGACGTGAACTTCATGCTCACGCTAGTAGCCTACGTTAGTTAAAAACGGAAAATTTTCGGAAAGTTGTACAATGTACCTAAAACTTTCAGAAGGATGTACAATGTACCTAATTATTCATCGTTATTTTTGTGATAATCACATATATTAGCCTATTCAGAATACGTCATTCTCCATCACAAATTAACAAGAATTATGTTGTTGAAGTCTGGTTGTGTTAAAGGGAATGGGAGCTTATAATTACCCCCATTCCTACCGGGACGCCATTTGGCCCAGTTCTTGCAGGTTCATTTCAAAATGAATTAAGAACCCTGGTTTTCACTCATTGATCATTTTGTTACTGATCAAACAACTATTTTATTCCACATATTTTGTCTCGGTTATTGGTATGCAGCCCATTGCTCACGTAAAGTGAATTTGCGTGCGTGAGTAGCTTAAATTTAACCACTCGCCCAAGGTTAATTTTGCGTGAATGATTAATTGCTCGCCATCATTTTCATCGCGGCATGCCCTGGCGATAGACTTAGTTTATGGTTTACAATTATTATTCCACAGCACATCTCAGAAACCATTCAACTTAATGAAGTCTTGTTTCAAACTTGCATAATTCATACATGTAGGACTGTATTCGATCTGTTGATACTTTGACAGTGTAATTCTATAAAGAACAATGGTGGTTTGTAATTTGAACTCAATTTTTATACGCCCACATTGAAATGTGGTCGTATATTGTCGTCGCCCCCGTCCGTCCGTCCGTCCGTCCGGCGTCCACAATTGCTTGTGGACGCTCTAGAGGCTAAAGTTAATATCTGATCGACTTTAAATTTATACACAGTGTTTAAGGTCTTGAGACGAAGAAGCCTATTGATTTTCAGCGATTTCCGATAATTACTGCCAGAGTTATGACCCTTGATCACTTCAAAAAATCTTGTGGACGCTCTAAAGGCCGAAGTTAATATCCGATTGACTTTAAATTTATACACAGTGTTTAAGGTCATGATAATTACTGCCAGAGTTATGGCCCTTGATCACTTCAAAAAATCTTGTGGATGCTCTGGAAGCGAAAGTTAATATTCCATTGACTTTAAATTTATACACAGTGTTTAAGGTCATGAGACGAAGAAGCCTATTGATTTTCAGCGATTTCCAATATTTGCTGCCAGAGTTATGGCCCTTGATCACTTTGAAAAATCTTGTGGACGCTCTAGAGGCCAAAGTTAATATCCGATTGACTTTCAATTTATACACAGTGTGTAAGGTCATGAGACGAAGAAGCCTATTGATTTTCAGCGATTTCCGATAATTACTGCCAGAGTTATGACCCTTGATCACTTCAAAAATGGTGGTTTGTAATTTGAACTCAATTTTTATACGCCCACATTGAAATGTGGTCGTATATTGTCGTCGCCCCCGTCCATCCGTCCGTCCGGCGTCCACAATTGCTTGTGGACGCTCTAGAGGCTAAAGTTAATATCCGATTGAGTTTAAATTTATACACAGTGTTTGAAGTCATGAGACGAAGATTCCTATTGATTTTCAACGATTTCCGATAATTACTGCCAAAGTTATGGCCCTTGATCACTTTGCAAAATCTTGTGACGCTCTAAAGGCTAAAGTTATCATCCGATTGACTTCAGATTGATACACAGAGTTTAAGATCTTGAGACGAACAAGTATATTGATTTTCAATGAATTTTTATGACTTGAACAATTAAATCCATGATATTAAAAGCTTTGCATACAAAACGTTAGCATGGGGCAGAACTTTATAAAAACCAAACAAATTCTAATAGTTTTCTGATAATTACTTCGTGAGTTGTTGCTCTTAATCAGATTTTAGTGTATTATAAATGTTTAATTACCGAAAAAAGTAAAAATATGCGACAACCCTTGTTGACTGCCCGGACGATTTAGTTGCTGTGGGCGTATGTTTCGTTGCCTGGCAACCTATCTTTGTCTATTTCGCTACTAGAGCCAGGTAGCACAATTGGGGTGCCTGATACTATTTTCAGTACGCCTTACAGCTACACACTACTAGTATTTGGTTGTTGATTACTCATAACACAGAGATTGTCTATCCCTGTACTTTCCACAACCGTGCACAGCATGTTGATGACTGGATCTTCTTGTTCTTGTATGAAGAATGCTTATTAAAGATACACTCCCCCGTACAAACTGGGTGATGTAATGGTATAAATGGACTAAAAACATATTCATACTAATTAATTTGTCATAATTTTGCTTCAGATCCTTCTCAAACATTGTAATTGCCAAGGAATGCCCTGCTATAAAAATTCAATCAAACCGGGTCATGTTTATGTCACGTGACTTACCTCTCTCGGAAGTCAGAGGAGAATTCATTGCATACATAAGACGATGTTGTCTTTAACCACTTACTATTTATTACAAGTATTTATTACAATTCTCGGATCATCCACTACCCACGTCTTTTTCCGTCATTTTTATCTCAGAAAGTATTGTACGTCTAACTCTTCATAAAGTTTATCAACTATTACATCAAGCGCTCAATGTTCGCGTGTGACCTTTGACATCACGCGTGCAGAAATTCCTAATCGTCGGGCTGTCGATTAGGGGAACCCTTACATTTTTGTCCTGTATACGCTTCATGCGTGTTTTTCGGGGAATCCAGTATCTTTCTAGTAAGATTGGATATCTTTACTTTCCATATATACCAAAATTGCCATACTTTTATTGGAAATAACCACCCGATAAATACTTTTCTGGGAACCCATCCATTGATTAGTTAATTTGTAAACTCATTTCCAAACTTCAATAATCACAAATCAGTCCTTCCCAGTTGTATCCATTGCACATTATCTCAGGCATATGATATTTGAGATATTTTATTAAAAACATAATATAAAACGATCACATTTCGCCTTCGATATTTTCAAAGAATTCTGCCTATAGTTCTTGAAATCTGAAAAATAGTCCTTTAATTGTGTTCTTTTCCTGACAGCAGCAGAATATTTCTGAAGAAAAACATGGCTTACAATGTTCCAAAGCTCATATTACTTTACTTTAATCTCGAACAATAAAATGAATCTCAATGAACAAATAAAAAAAATTACTGGATGTAACATCAAGTTTATTTTCTTATTGCAGCAAACTTTGACCAAACACAATTTATTTTATTATTTTAAGACTAAAGGGAGACAATCCGCGAAAGACTCGGATGGCCAATGCTCGGTTGTCTTTTTGACCAAACGAAAATTGCAGACTAAAGAAAGATATCCCTTGCAAGAATAATCGTGGTGGTAATGCTATGCAATGGGTTATGGTTTTATGCAATGGATAATGGATTATGGTTTTATCAATATCAGATGAGTGGGAACAAATCAGAAAGGAAAGAAATCCCTTATGGCATTAAATCATATGGCATACTTTTTTTGTTGTTTTTTTTTTAGAAAAGGACAATATATTATGCTTATTACTTCAACAAAATCCACAGTTGCTCAGGAGCTTAAACGTTGGCTCACTAATCTGGAGGTCCCGTGATCTATCCTTGTTTTGACCGAGAAATGTAATCGGGATTTGCCGGCGGATGGCGGATGGCCTGGTTAAGGGGGGGTGGGCGTACAGTCAGTCGTTCGGCTAGGGCGGAAAAAGAGGTCCCATGTGAACATTGGCGTGCACGTAAAAGAACCCTTGGCAGTTAGAAT